GTTGTGGGTATTGTTGTCGAACTAGTGATGCCGAAAAAGTGGTTATAAGTTGTGGGTTGTTGATGTGACTTTTTCTGATGAAATTAGTTAAAACGAGAAAAAAAAATTGTGGGTTGTGGGTGTTGTTGTCGAACTAGAGATACCGAAAAGATGTTGTAAGTGGGTTGTTGTTGTGACTTTTTCTGATGAAATTAGTTAAAACGAGAAAAAAGTGTTTTAGTAGTATTCAGTGGTGTATTTGGGAGTACTCAAATGGTGTTTGAGACTATTCAAAGGTGTTTTTGAAGGTGTTCAAATGATGTGCAAGTATTTATGAAGGTGTTCTGGGAGTATTCAGTGGTGATTTGGGGGTATTCGAATGATGTTTTTGGAGTATTCAAAGGTAAATGATGGTGTTTTTGGTGTTGTTCAAAGTAAAGTGTCTGAGTTAGTTTTTGTGATACTGTTGTAAAAATCAGGAGAATGAGGGAGGAGTTTTGGGGGATGAGTTGTAATTTAATGAAATATGAAAGTGTAGATAAATTAGAGATGATAAATCTTATTTGGGAGTATTCAAAATGTTGTCTTGGAAATGTTCAAAGGTGTTTATGTGAGTATACAAATGATTTATGAGAGTGTTCGAAGTAATCTTGGGGTTGTTCTGTAGTGAGATAAAGGTTTTCGATGAGAGAATATTTCTTAAGAGATATTGAGAAAAGTGTGTGTGTGTGTGTGTGCGTGTGTGCGTGTGTGCGTGTGTGTGTGTGTGTGTGTGCTAGGTGGTCATAGAATTTTGTGAATATCTTGGTTACAGTGATTTTAGTGGATTTGAGATGGGTGTTAGTCTGTTATGTTGATCTTAGTTTATGGTGATTTTGGTGTTTTGACTGTATTCAGTGGTGTTTTAGTAGTATTCAGTGGTGTATTTGGGAGTACTCAAAATGATATTTTGGAAGTGTTTCAGTGTTGTTTGGAAATGTTCAAATGTATTTTTGTGAGTATTCAAATGATTTATGAGAGTGTTTTGAAGGTGTTCAAAGTAAAGTGAGGTGTGTGTGTGTATTAACTTAGTAATATGTAAAATTGTGACTAGTGAATTAATCGAAAAGTGGTTATAAGTTGTAAGTGTTGTGGTGGCTTTTTCTGATGAAATAGTTAAAACGAGAAAAAATGTCTAGACTTGTGTTGTATTTTGTAAAGAAATTGTGGATTGTTGTGGGTATTAACGAAAAAAATGTGAAATTAATTGGGTTATCCTGGGTTAAGAGTGAAAAATGTGTAGGGGGAAGTCGACAAGATTCAGCCTGTGTGTGGGGGGGGGCATCACGTGACGTCACTGACATAGGGGAAGTCGACAAGATTCAGCCTGTATGTGCGAGGTCATCACGTGACGTCACTGACCGCCGAGTAAACACAGGTGGGGTGACGTCACACTTGTTTAGACCACTAGTAAGAGAAAGTACCATGCCCCATAGGAGGAGTTCATTTGAATGCTTACCCCCAGAGGGGAGAATCCAAAAACTTGATCCAAGGAGATGGAGTCTTGGTATTGTTGATATCGAGAAAAAACTTGATCCAAGGAGATGGAGACTTGGTATTATTGATTTCGAGAAAAATTTGATCCGAGGAATTGGAGCAGGGAATTTGGGATGGGGGGTGGTGTGGGGGGAAAATCTTTGTATTAATGATATCGAGAAAAACTTGATCCGAGGAGATGGAGTCTTTGTATTATCGAGAAAACCTTGATCCAAGGAGATCATAAGAATTTAGAAACCCCATAGGGGGGGAATTCAAAAACTTGATCCGAGGAATTGGAGCAGGGAATTTGAGATGCAAGTGGGAGTTCATTTGAATGCTTACCCCCAGAGGGGAGAATCCAAAAACTTGATCCAAGGAGATGGAGCCTTGGTATTATCGAGAAAAACTTGATCCAAGGAGATGGAGTCTTTTATTTCGAGAAAAACTTGATCCGAGGAATTGGAGCAGGGAATTTGAGATGCAAGTGGGAGTTCATTTGAATGCTTACCCCCAGAGGGGGGAACCCAAAAAACCTTGATCCGAGGAGATGGAGTCTTTGTATTATCGAGAAAACCTTGATCCAAGGAGATCATAAGAATTTTGAAACCCCATAGGGGGGAATCCAAAAACTTGATCCGAGGAGATCATAAGAAAATGAAATTAAAAAAAAAATCGAAAAAAATTGGGATGGGGGTGAAAGGGGGAGGGGGAACCTCAAAACTTGATCCGAGGAGATGGAGAGCACAAGAAATTCGAAAAAAATCGGAAAAAAATTCGGGGAGCGGGGGCGATCCGGACGACGCTGCAGAAGGCACTGGCGGGCGCGAGGGCGGGCGCGTGGGCGGGGCGCCAGTCGGGCAGGCGTGGGTGGGGGTTGAGGGTGAAGTGGTCGAGGGTGGGGATCGTGGGTGGGGGTCGTGGGTGGGGGTCGTGGATGGGGGTCGTGGATGGGGGTCATGGGTGGGGGTCGTGGGTGGGGGGTTGAGGTCGAGGTCAAGGTCATTAGCATATAGGTGTGAAAAGGAGTCCGCTCAGAGGAGACCGTACCTTGGAGACCGTACCGTGGGAGACCGCTCTGTAGAAGACGGCTCTGTAGAAATCAGTACTACTATATATATATATATATATATATATATATATATATATATATATATATATATATATATATATATATATATATATATATATATATATATATAAACACACACACACACACACACACACACATGTATATATGGAAGTACCACTTCTAGAACTGTACTGGGGACCCTCATCCTCAGAGAAGAGAATAAACGTGCCTCAGGGAAAATTCAAGGTTCTGCCCGGAGCTGTTTGAATATTTCCTTCTCTTACCACCCCCTATATTCTATGTTAACTTTAATTTATAAGCAGAATACACTGACAAAAAATTACAAACGTGAATACATTGGTACATTATATCAAAGATTATGAATCTCCTCCAGCTTCTTCGAAGCCGGACGCGAGCTAAGTATGCAGCAAGCATTTACCGTCTGGATGGCTCTATAACATAAGAGTGGCCGCCCTCGGGTCCCTAGTAGTGTCGATGAGTCTGGAACCCAGTTTTTTAAGGAAGCGTGTGGCATTTTTACCCCCAGGATCCAGGGTCTTTGATCCCACAGGGACAAATTGATACTGTTGGCTTATGTCTTTGTACTTGCCGATCTTGTACTCCTCCCTGTCGCCCAACACTGATGGATGTAGGTGTCAGCCAGCGTCGACATGCAGGTGTAGTCCCATGCTAAGGGCTTGCCATTCTTCTAAGGATAGATGGTGATCCCGTCAGGGCGGTTTGCTGGTTTGTGAGTATTGTTGGCTGCTAGTGATCGGGGCTCTCTCTCGGCTGGCATCCAGCCGAGATCAGTAGGACTCTGGGATAAGAAAGATGAGGCCTGATGGCAGAAACTATGTAAGCTATGAGATCACACTTTATTTCCAGTTGCTTTATATCCGTATTCTTTTTTTATCTTTTACGATATATCAAAAATAGTTCGAAAGATTAGAGATCACTTTTCTTAATCATTCAGACAGTTGATGGTGGTGGTGGATGCTCTTCAAGTGTCATACACCAGTGATCTTGGTGGTGATGGATGTTCTTCAGTGTTAAACACCAGTAATCTTATATCTTCCCTTATAATAGCAGCGGCTGCTTCCCCAGTTGTTCTTGGACATTCTTCATGTTTGTCATTGTCCTTTGTAGCACACTGTACCAGGAATGAGAATTACTTGTCACGGAAACACATCACAGCAGCTATTATATATAACATCACGAATTATTTTATTGCCTCCATATTTCTCTAATATTTTTATCTTGAATGTTACTTCTGCTGGTACACATTTTCCCATGAGCTGCATTAAGTCATTTTAAAAAAAGGCAGTGATTTTTACTGGCAGAGGGCAGCAGAAGGTGAGTTGATGAAGCAGTCCTCAGGGAAGTTAGGCCTCAGGTAGGGCCGCGAAAGTAGAATAATTTTGGAAACGGTCACAGTTATGTCACAGGTCTCGAGGTGTGTACAGTTTTTATGAACATAATTTTCAACCTATAACATACATAGTTTATAGCTTTAATGGCGTAGATCGTATGAATAGGTGGAAGTGAAGGCTAAGGAGGGGAAGCAAGAAGGAAAATGGAGGTGGAGGGAAAGGAAGAGATGATTTCGAAAGGTTACAGTGATTTAAAATGGAAAGGGTAATAAAGATAAATGACGGGAAGGGAAGAATGAGTGGGAACACAGGGAAATGGGGGCTGAATGGATAGAGGAGAGGGGAGATGAGGGGACATGTTAGTGTTGCCAGGGCTCTGTGTGTATGTGTGTGGGGATCCTCATGTACCAGCCCCCAGGGAGGATAATGATTCGTTGCCATGGTTACTCTGCTGCATTACTTGGTAGAGACGGTCGAGGGGAAACAGGTCGCGTTGCTGCGGTCGTGTTCTTTTTTTCCTGTTTGTGTCGTTCCTTCCCTTGATGCTTGAAGCTACCCTTCTGCCTTGCACAATTGCTTCATATAACCGTAATTAGTTCTTTACTGGAAAAATATATTTTATTTGCCAAACTTTCTATTTTAATTTGCTATTAAATTTTATGGTTTTTATTACTGTATTATTGTTTTTCTGCCTTGCTTGTGTATATGTATCTGGCTTTATGTTCTTGCTTCTCAGTAAGTGGCTGCTGGTTTATTATCGCTAATCAAATCCACTTGAAGGCGCTTGTAAATATGCCTCATTTATGCGGCTGTCGGAATGTTTCTCAGTCTTCTCTTATGGTTTTTCCATTTTCTGTTCGTATCAGTCTCATTTTCTATAGTGCATTATGGGTAATATATGTTGTCGTTGTAGTTTATAGTTGGCAGTAGTGTAACCTAATCTAAATTATGAATGTCACAGTTTAGTTGGGGATTTTAATGTACTATTGACTATTGTTTCACAGTGAAAAAGGTATTTTAAGGGGAAAATGTAATTTCACTGCAATTCTTATTTTGTTTTGTTTAATCAGATAAAACAGTCGACACATTTCAGGTACTTCTGCTACAACAGTAACGTGGAAATTAGCATGTCGGAATGAATATGAATCGGTACACACAAATAACCCACACATCAGATATAGAAGGTTATGGCGACGCTGTAAATGGTCCAAGTCGGACCGAAACGTCGTCATAAGCTTCTCTCTCATATTTTAGCGCTTCTTTTTGTGTATTGTTCCAGTGACGGTGTTGTGCCTTTTTGTTCTTAAAAATGAATCGGCTAATAACATTTATCCCATTCATGAGCGTGCAGTGCGAAGCTGCGTGTAACTAGACGTCTGTCAGTCTGCTAACCTTCATGGACCAGTCATTGTTCCATACCTCGTTGTTGTACTCGTCCAACACTTCAGCATCTTGCGTTTCTGGAATTGTGAGAGATATTGGGAGTGAGTATTCCTCTGGAGGATTGTGTGTCGTTAAAATCTTATGGGCCCCTTGAGGTTTGTGGCCAACAGGAGGCTTGACAGTGGTTTTAATCCTCGTATGATTTGGGAAGGTGTGTGGGACTTTGATTGCAGGATGCCGATGAAAGGATGCTGGGGTGGAACCGAAGATGGGTTCCAACGTGAAGGGAAAAATGGGTGTAAGGTTTGGGGGCGTCGCGAGAATGTGGGTCATGGGTTGTGTATTGAGATGATGGGTGGGTGATGTTGATGGAGTTTGTGGGATTAATTTTTTGGTGGGTGTGGGTGGACGGTAAGGTGGGTGGTAGACAGGTGTGGGTGGACGGTAAGGTGGGTGGTAGACAGGTGTGGGTGGACGGTAAGGTGCGTGGTAGACGGGTGTGGGTGGGGGTTTGCCGGCGTTGTAGACAGGTGGTAGAACCACCGGGACGAACTCTCCTGCGTTGTTAAGTTGTGTGTTGGAAGAGACGAGCCCCATCGTCGCGGCCACCACTGCCTGGGGAAGGGAACACCTCTGTGACAGGAAGCATGAGTTCAGGGTAATTAGTAATGCTCTTTCTCTTTGCTTTTCTTAACCCAAACTTTGTTGTCCACTACCACTTCTTCACATACAAGCGCTCCTCTTTCTCAACCCACACTTTTATTCCCTCTTTCCATTTTCCTCAATTTTTTTTTGTCCAAGCTAAATCACTCTTTACACTCACTCCGTCTATCCCTTTTTTGCCCCTTCCCTCCCTCTCACTACTACTATCCCTCTTTTGTCCCTTCCCTCCCTCTATTCATTCACACCGTTGCTTTCCTTCCCTTCTCCCCTCGCCCCGTTTTTCCTCTCTTCCACCCTTGGTTAATAACCAAGGATTCTTCTTTACAAGTCTCAAGGCAGGTAGCAGCTCTAGGGAACACTTTCCAACTGGAAACCTGTGCCAACCCTGCTAGTAGAGAAAGGCTATTGAGTTGACCTGTAAAAAGAAATGCAGTATTCAGTCTGCGTTTTTTGTGGCGTGCATGATTTTTCGGTTCATATCTGGAAAAGTTAAGTAGCACTACAGTTACGCTCTGTGAGAGGGCATATGCACAACACGGTAATACACTTCAGGACGACACGGGTTTTAGATAGCGTGAAGAATAAAGATGTATACTTTATGCATCCCTGCTTTTTACTAAGGATATTTTGCACTGTCTGCCGAGCCTCTTACTTTCGTTGGGAGTGATTTCGATGTGTAGGCTCTTAAGAATTTTCCAGGAGTAAATTATTATGCATCTTTCTCGCCTACGTTCATGTGAGTACAATTAAGAAGGACTTCAAAGATTTCCAGTAATTTATTGTTTGAATTTATGTGAGAAATGAAGGTTCCCCGTAAATTCTCCAGATCTTCAATTTCACCAGCTTTAAAATGGACTGTTAATGTGCAGCACGTCATTTTGAGTCATCATAAAGCAATAGTATATTGTGCAGGTGTCACATATTTACAAAGTAGTCTCTTAGTTCAGTTCTGGACTGTGTGGAAATTTTTGCTTCTCTGATCCGTTTACATCGAAGTATTTCTTGGTTTAAATGTTCTATTTTTCCTGCCTATTATTTTTCCTTGCAGTTATGATAACACTGCTGGCATCCTTGAACCCGAGTTCTTTTAATTTCCTGTTTTTGTGAAGGTGTTGAATTCCAGATCGTCTGGACTGACTTCCTCTCATTCTTTGGGCTTATTCATATCTACTTTTAATTCCATGTATGAAATTTACCTCCATCATGTACTTTTGATTCCATGTATTGAGTCAGCCTCCATCATGTCTATTCTTAATACAATACACAACTTCGCTATCGTAACATTGTCTTAGTTGGATGTATTCGTAAAATAAAAATTTGAAAATAACATAATAATCTTCGAAAAATAATTAAATCCATACCTAATAGTGATATTGAATATGACAGAAATATACCAAAGAAAATATTTTCCCTAGACTTATCAGGATTAATGATATATTAATGCCAGTTAAAATTGTTGTTAAAATGTGGAAATTGCAATGTATGGGCAAATGGAATTTTGCATTCATACCGGAGGTTAGTAATCTGATGATAGGGAGGATATGATGAGTTTGTGAGATTAGAGGCGATCGATGGCGAGTGATTAAGGCAGCAATTCACTTTGTAGCTAATAAGAATGCAGACTTGAATATGTAATACACACATAACCATATATAGGAAAAAGTAGCTTGGACTTGGACCATTGACTAGTCGCACAAACTAGTCAAATGGTTCTAGTGGAACCGAAACTTCGTCATAAGCTTCTTTCTCTTATGTGCGGCTTATTTTTGTATTGTTCGTCACGATATTATGTCTTTAATAACTCATATCAATGGTAGTGGATTCACAGTGCATAATACTTTTGTGACTTTTAATTTTGACGTCGTGTGTATCACTACGCATACCACGTATGGTCCACTGCTCTTGTGAACTTAATTTATTCACTTCATCTACATGCATAATTAATGTATAGTCAGCCGTGTGTATGTATATCCATCTGAATTCATATTCAAAATTAAGTACCTGCATAATTACTAATGTTTATGTTGCGTCGTAAAAATGTTAAACGTTGGAGAGGCTCACCAGGCTGGCCACACTCTTCATCGTGAGGGATGTGTAGTCACAATGAAACGCTAAGCTTGTGTGACATGATATATATATATATATATACACACACACACACACACACAACACACACACACACACACACACACACACACACACACACACACACACACACACACACACACACACACACTTCCTTGTTCCCCATTCCCTCCCTCTCCTACCCTTTCTCTTCCAACTCCCCCTTTCCCTTTCCTCTCCTTTCTCCCTGTTGCTACAATTTTTCCCCTCAACCCACTACCTCTTGTAGATTGAGGGTCGTACTCATACACTTTGCCTAAAACTATTTGCCTACAGGTGATCTGGTCTTGTCACTTGCTGCTAACTTGATATATCGTTCCTTGATTCGGAACCATTTGTTATGATTTACACATGTTTCCACCCTCTTTACTACCTCCCATTCCCTTGTGTCGCGCTCCATCCCGTTTTCATATTCGTATCCCCCAGTCTCCACTTTCCACTCCCTACCTCTTCCTCTTTTCTCTAATTGTTTCCATTTGTCATAGCGATTTTTTTTTAATGCGTCGACGACCACAAACTTTCCATTGCGGAAAAGCGCATGTCCCACTGAGAGAATGGATATTTAAATGAATCAGCGAGGTAAATATAATTAACACCATCATAGCTTCATTATGCAATTAGGTTTGACAACTTCCTAGATTGCGTAATTTAGCGTACATCAAATTTTCTTGTCAATTTGGTGTGTAGAGCGTCCAAAATAGCGAGGGAGAGAGACCTGAAGCAAGAGATGTGGGAAGGTAATTTGGAAGAGTCACGAGAATTAGAGACGGTCTCTCCGTTGTCTACCTGGAGGGTATTCCGGGGATCAACGCCCCCGCGGCCCGGTCCATGACCAGGCGTCCTGGTGACTGAGGGCCTGATCAATGAGGCTGTTACTGCTGGCCGCACGTAGTCCAACGTACGAACATATATTGTGTCTTGTTTTGTTCGAGGACTTGCCTTTAGGCTCTGAAACTATCTTCAGTACTTCGGTATTATTATCTGTATTCTGTTAATAAAACTGTCTGGCGAAACGTCTCCACAGTAGATACCTCAATAATGCACATGTCTTATTCATGTACTTGTCGGTTTTGTATAAAAATATCGTACAATAGGAAAATATGCTTCCTAACGGTGATAATCTGATCATGTCCTGGAAATGAGTGAATCAATCTCTGATTTTTATGGGTAATCTGTGAGAAGGTGGATTATTCTTAACAGATTCATAACTTTTTTTTAATGACCTGGGACGTTGTATTACTTTGTTAGTCTTTGAACTATGGAAAAAAAGTCGAAAATAAAAGCCAGAGGGAAGTAGGTAGAATGCTCACCAGGAAAAATGTATGATGCGGGTCTTAGTTATTTAATGGTGCAAGGTATTTTTTGGTCACGTGATATCTACCCAGCAGTCCGTCCTCTTGACCACAGACATCATGGCACTGTTGTATAAACAGTCAAATGGGTGACTGTTGACGGCGCCTGGAAGAGTTGAAATGAGTTTCATTGTAGCTGCGTTCAGTGGGTGCCCGTTTTCTGTTCGAACGGTAGACTTGTCGCCTTTTTCTTATATTAATAGTTTGCTAACCTAATATAGAGGTACGTAATGGGTCTATCTGTAAATACCTTTGTAACTTGTCATGATTGTGACCAGACTTACCTGGAGTTCATTACCTTTGTAAATTGTGAGTTCATTACCTTTGTAAATTGTGAGTTCATTACCTTTGTAAATTGTGAGTTCATTACCTCTGTAACTTGCTCAGCTATCAAAACTTTGGAGTCCAGTCCCTGTACCAATTATGTACCTCTGTAATCTTTTGACTACCGCCCACAGGATGGGTATGGGGTGCATAATAAACATATTAAACTAACTAACCTAATATAACCTAACCTAACTTAGAAATGCGGTGTAAACCGTATGTGAAAATGTTACGTAGTTGTTAGGGGGTTGGATGGTTGTTCGGAGAGCATACAGTAATAATTAATCTTCAAAGATTAATAGTTGCAATTTGTGTGGTGTTTCATGCCTGGAATATACCCATCTTGTTTGTTGCTAATGTGATAATTACTTTTTTAGAAGGTATAGTTGGATGTAGTTTGAACAGTGAAAATGAGGCTCACAAGAACAAATATTTTGTGAAGGTTTGATGGTAGGTAGAACAGATAATCAGTGAGAATGGATTGCTTTCAATTAAATTTTCTTAATCTCTATATAAAGGATGCATAAACATACTGGTGTAAGGCTAATAAACCTACTGCCGTAATCCTTTTTCTTCAGTCCTAACTGACAAATATTTACATGACGTACTGTATGGGCAGTTGTGGCTGCGACGTAGATAAATAGCTTGAATTATAAAGGTTTTGTTTAGAAGCAGCGTTTAGAAAGTGCCTGAATTATTCTTCTGAATATTCTTCCTTTGTAAATCTCTACACATGTTTGAATTAGTTCGCGTATCTTTTTTTTTGTGCGGCCCAGTAAAAGAAATTCTTGTATTTGTGTGTTCTTCATTTCGGAAAGTTTAATGAATATATTTTTATCCCGTGACTTTCGGGAGGAAAAGATTGTTTTGAAGTTTATATGAGAATCCAAAGATGAATTTGAATTAAGGCCTTAAAGTTCATAAAATATTCGTTTAAAACAGTTTATTATTACTTTACTAATTAAAAGTGTCTGTTCCAGTATTTTTATCTGACGAATTATAGCAAAACGTTTGGATTTTTTTTCTGAAGTTACGTGTAAAATTAGAGGGATATCTCTTCCCTTGTGTTGGTCAAGAGGACTGTCTTGCGTGGCCACCTGTCGTGTTTAAAGCCAGCTGTCGTGTGTCTTACGCAATAGCGTTGCAAGCTTTTCTCTTTTCCAGCTGCTTGAGATAAGGAAATTTGCACTTTCACCGCGGAATATGATAATTTACAAGAGCATTTTTTTTTTTTAACAGTTTTTAAAGAAGCTGTTTTGTGTTGACTGGTGAGAGCTATAATTCTGGGGCCACAGAACCTCACTGAAAACAAGCTGAAGAAAAATAAGGAAGTGTAAGAACCGTACGACAAACAGTAGGAAGTAAAAAAGAAAGTGAACGTACACACACACAAAAAGACAAAAATGGAAGCAGGAAATGTCCAGACGAAGACAAACTTTTTAGTTTAATTAAAGCTTATGTTAGGGTTTAGCGATGTCATCCGTTCACAGAGGGACCTATAACTAATTGAGTGTAGTAGTTCGGTACACAACCACAATGACCTGGGTTCAGTTCCCCTGCAAAGCTAAGACTCTTCCTACGGTCACCGGCCCCACGGACCGGGCCTGGACCAGGACTCTTGGTTGCTGGTCTGATCGAGCAAGCTGTTACTGCCTAGCCTTCCGCAGTCCAACGTATGAAACACAAACCGTCTGATCAGGAACTGTTTTGAGAAAACCGTTGAGTCTCTTCTTGAAGACAGCTTAGGGTGTGTCGGTAATCTTCCTTAGGTATGAAGGGAGGGCGTTGAAGAGTCGTGGTTCCTTAACACTTAATGAGTTTTCTCTTATTGTACTCATCGTTTCCGTGCTTTTCATTGGAGATATCCTGCGCCGCCTGCCAAGCTCTTGTGTTCGTAATAATAATTTCGGTGTGCAGGTTTGGGATCAGTCCCACCAGTATCTTTCTCTTACACCTGTTTCCCTTGTTCACTCCAGACAAACCTGACCCGGGGCCGGGCTGCGGGTATAGGAAAATTCTTGAAATCCTTCAGAGATATATTGAAGGTAAGGTAGGAGTTTGTCGACGGAGGTCTGTCTTCCGTTGTCTGTCCTGGACTACTGACCTTCAGCAGAGTTACACTTTGCAAAAAGCAAACGTCATCTGCCTCCTGTTCACTTTCTGCACCATACCTTCTTTCTCTTCTCCTTGGACCGTATCTGCTCCCTGCATCATACCTGTCCAGTCCCTGAAATATATGTTTACCTATTCAGTGGAGGTGCCTTGGTACTGGTCAAGGACTCTTGATCCTGTGTATTGAAACAACCTCTCCAGTCCTTATATCAGTCCACTTAGTTTCCCATGCTCAGTCCCCCGCCTCTACGTTTCTATTCCAGACCAGGCCTCCCGGTACATGGCCTCATCAACCATGAATGTTCAGTACTAGTGATATATTTGCTCATTTCATGATGCAAAATCTGCTTATTTCCTAGACCAAAACATGTTTACTCCCTGGGCCGCTGTCTCGGCACTTTCTTGGACAGTACTTCACGCTCTTGTCCACACTAGTCACATCCTGGGCATTACTTTCCTATTTTCAGGAACAATTCATGCTCATTTCTTGGCTAATGCCATCTCATTCCCTGGATGATACCTGCCCACATTCTGGGTCATATCTACCCGCCGCCCTGCCCACCTAATTTTCTAGGGCGCTCCTGAGTGTGCCTCACGCTCGCGCTTATTTTCTGCTCCGTAGCTAGAATGTATACGTAATTTCACGCTTCTTATGGGATCCTGCCGCAATCCATGGTGCGTCCTCTCTCACATATCACAGAAAACGAGCAGTCGTAACACAAATAATAAAATACTTGTATAAGTACATAATATTCTTAATGTTGTAGAGGTTTATGTTAGGAGGGTTGTGTGTTCTCCACCAACCGGAAGCAATAAAACTTATATTACTTGTTTATATCCCAAAATCTTTACAGAACGTTTTCTATGAAATTGAGAACGTATGGGAATATTTACTAGAGAAAATTTAACCCGGGAAGTAACTGTATCGAGGTTATAATATCTTTATTTCTACAAGTACATGTACAAGGTATACAGGCCTAGCTGACATCAGTGACATACTCCTGTATAGAAAGTCCCATGTTATGCAGAGCATTTCGGGCAAATTAGATCAGTTTTGTCCCGGGATGCGACCCACACCAGTCGACTAACACCCAGGTACCCATTTTACTGATGGGGAACATAGACAACCGGTGTAAGGAAACACGTCCAATGTTTCAAACCTCGCCGGAATCGAACCCGGAACTTCGCCGTGTGAAGCGAGAGCTTTAGCCACCAGGCCACGGTTATATCATGAGCACAAATGTTTCAGGCCTCGTACATAATTTTGAACTGTTAATAGTTTTATATAGTATGTAAAGCTGAATTTAATATAACTAAAACTAAACATTATGATTTACGTCCATTGTACCTTCCTACTAGTGTGCAGATACCATTGTACCTTCCTACTAGTGTGCAGGTACCATTGTACCTTCCTACTAGTGTGCAGGTACCATTGTACCTTCCTACTAGTGTGCAGGTACCATTGTACCTTCCTACTAGTGTGCAGATACCATTGTACCTTCCTACTAGTGTGCAGGTACCATTGTACCTTCCTACTAGTGTGCAGGTACCATTGTACCTTCCTACTAGTGTGCAGGTACCATTGTACCTTCCTACTAGTGTGCAGGTACCATTGTACCTTCCTACTAGTGTGCAAGTACCATTGTACCTTCCTACTAGTGTGCAGGTACCATTGTACCTTCCTACTAGTGTGCAGGTACCATTGTACCTTCCTACTAGTGTGCAGGTACCATTGTACCTTCCTACTAGTGTGCAGGTACCATTGTACCTTCCTACTAGTGTGCAGGTACCATTGTACCTTCCTACTAGTGTGCAGGTACCATTGTACCTTCCTACTAGTGTGCAGGTACCATTGTACCTTCCTACTAGTGTGCAGGTACCATTGTACCTTCCTACTAGTGTGCAGGTACCATTGTACCTTCCTACTAGTGTGCAGGTACCATTGTACCTTCCTACTAGTGTGCAGATACCATTGTACCTTCTTACTAGTGTGCAGATACCATTGTACCTTCCTACTAGAGTGCAGATGCCATTGTACCTTCCTACTAGTGTGCAGATACCATTGTACCTTCCTACTAGTGTGCAGATACCATTGTACCTTCCTACTAGTGTACAGATACCATTGTACCTTCCTACTAGTGTGCAGATACCATTGTACCTTCCTACTAGTGTGCAGATACCATTGTACTATCCTACTAGTGTGCAGATACCATTGTACCTTCCTGTTAGTGTGCAGATACCATTGTACCTTCCTACTAGTGTGCAGATACCATTGTACTATCCTACTAGTGTGCAGATACCATTGCACCTTCCAACTAGTGTGCAGATACCATTGTACCTTCCTGTTAGTGTGCAGATACCATTGTACCTTCCTGTTAGTGTGCAGATACCATTGTACCTTCCTACTAGTGTGCAGATACCATTGTACTTCCTATTAGTGTGCAGATACCATTGTACCTTCCTATTAGTGTGCAGATACCATTGTACCTTCCTACTAGTGTGCAGATACCATTTACCTTCCTATTAGTGTGCAGGTACCATTGTACCTTCCTACTAGTGTGCAGATACCATTTACCTTCCTATTAGTGTGCAGGTACCATTGTACCTTCCTACTAGTGTGCAGATACCATTGTATCGTGCTACAAGTGTGCAAATACCTTTGTATCTTGCTATTAGAGTACAAATACCATTGTTTCTCTTGCTACGCACTCATCATTGCAGTATTACGCTACCATTATATTACTACATACTATCATATTACTGCAGATTATGAAAGATACATCATAATCAACACCTGGAAAATACTGGAGGGATTGGTCCCAAATCTCCACACCGAAATTACTACTTTTGAAAACAAGAGGCATGACAGACAGTACAAGATACCTCCAATGAAAAGCAAGGGAGCGAACCACGACTTCTCACTCTCCATTCATGCATAAGGGGGATCACAAGCAAACCCTTAGCTGTCTTCAAGAGAGAACTCGACAAATTCCTCAAAACAGTTCGTGATCAGGCGGGCTGTGGTGTATACGTTGAACTGCGGGTGGCGATCACTAACAGCTTGCTTGCTTAGGTCAGCAATCATGAGATCTGGTATGGGACCGGGCCGCCGGGGCGGTGACTTCCGGAAGCGTCTCCAGGTAAACATTTTCTTATAGATTATTATTCATGGAATTGCTCTACCCGGAGTCTACCTGGAGGGCGTTCCGGGGGTCAGCGCCCCCGCGGCCCTGTCCTTAACCAGGCCTATCGGTGGATCAGGGCCTGATCAACCAGACTGTTACTGCTGGCCGCACGTAGTTCAACGTACGAACCACAGTCCGCCTGATCAGCTACACCAGTAATTGTCATACATTGCCTGGGGAATGGGATGGGTGAGGAGTAACGGGATTAATTCCAGGAAGGGAAGGATAGTTCCAGTTCTTGCCATCAGGTCTTCGCCAGCATGAAGGCAGTGCTCTGGAAGTTCATGGATTGCTAGGGAATCTTTCATTTATATTTTTGGCTATATGTTTTTGTTTATTAATACTTATTTCAATAGGATACAATTATAAATGTCAATAACATTGAAACGTTATTGAAACTAATAGTTTTTGATATGTTATTAGAGTTGACTTATTGGTAGGAATTATGTAATGTTGTGGTTGTGAAGTCAGACGAGTGACGTTAATTTTGATTAAAGCGAAAGAAAATCTCAGTAAGCAAATTACATAAACGGGCATTAAACGCCTGGCAGCAGAATTACGCCTGACATTCTTTGTAAATGGTCCAAGTCGGACCGAAACGCTGTCGTAAGCTCCTCTCTTCTATGTGCAGGTTATTTGTGTATGTTTCAATCACAGTATTGTGCCATTTTTTTTGTTATTCTGTACCGTTAACAACAACACCCAATTCTCGTACAGTATGAGGATGAGCCGAAATCACAAAGACGTCAACTTCAATAAAACAAGCCATCTTGAAACTGCTTTATTGCCCGCTGTTGCATCACTTCTTCGGTACCTTTGTTGCGAATACAGCTTTCACGACGACGATTTATGGGTACGACAAATACTACTTAACTACTGCTACGATGACTAGAAAGTGTTAGAATATAAAATGAGGTGTTTTAGTATCCATTGAGTAAAACATTCTTAAGAACTTTACTAACATTGCTTTCGATATTGGAGTACTACTACTGCGACTATTACAACTACTACTACTATTACAAATGCAAATATTGTAGCTATTACAACTGCAGTTACTACCAAAGGTAGGATCAGGCACTTCAGTGATCTCCAGTGCGAATTTCATTTTTAGATCAGTTTCAGTTCATATATATTTAACTATGTCATCACTGGCTTTTTACACAATGGTTTACAGATGTATAGCCTCATAGGGGAGATAGACAGACAAACACAAGATATACACAGCCACACAGATGTATATTTTCCAAACATTTTGTGATAATGATTCCAAAAGTCGTAAGCAGATTCTCTTAAAACAATGTCTGCCTCATGCAAAGGAAAGTCAGGAAGTGATGGTCTTGGTGGTCTGTAGGAAGTGATGGTCATAATGGTCTGTAAGAAGGTCTGGAGGTGATGAGGTCGCATTGATCCGTGGGAGGGTCTAGTGGTGATGGGTCACTAGTAGTCTTAGCTCCGGTCTTGAGGTTGATGGGGATCGGAAGGTCCGATGTCCTCTCCGAAGGTGGAGTCATGGTGGTGTCCGATGTCCTCTCCGAAGGTGGAGTCATGGTGGTCTGAACTTTGATCTGCAGGTGACGGGAAGGATTGGTGTGGTGGAATAGTTGAATATGCGACCGGTACGGTGGTTGGGGATAGGAAGAAGCTGGACTTGAAGGTGATGGGGTCTACGTCTCTGGTGATGGGGTGCACGGCCTCCCCGTCAAACTCTACGTCAGCAACATAACCAATGACGTGGTCTGCCTGGTATTTCACCTATAAGAACGTATACAAAATATTTTTGCAATACTTTTTATGAAGTTTTCTCATTTTTATGTTAAATTAATTCTAGGTAGATCGTTTGACTTTCGTCATCTAGCTTATATTATGGCCCGTAAACGCTCTTAGCTAACCTTGCCTAACCTTATTATAACAAGCGCAATTTAATTTAGCCTAATCCAACTAAATATATTTTAGATAAGTTTACAGTAATTTAATAATAAACACAATAAAATATATTTTTTTTCGTTAGGTTCAGAATGACAAATTATTTTTGCTCATAGGGGAGGGAGTGCTAAACCCATTTGGGTCCCACAGCGCCTCCGGGAATGGGAGGCAGTCAGGTTCAATCCAAGACAGGGGAGGTCCAATTCCATTAAAGGGACTAAACAGGCAAAGAAGAAAGGATTAAGAACAAGAATAGTAATTGGGTTACGGTCTGCATTCTGCCATCGGGCAGAGCGATGTAGTAGGATCCCTTGATGAGGTGCCCGTCGTAAGTCTCGTCCTGACCGAAGTGTGCACCACCTTGGTCATCCTTCACACCGTACTGGAAGTTGTAGCTTCCACTCTGCTGACATAACATTCTTCTAGTTACAAGTTATTACTATTTTAGGTAAATGGACACAGATGCAACTAATTTGGCAACGTTTTGCTCTCCTGGAACCACAAAAAAGTCACATTAGTTACATCTGTGTCTTTACCTAACATTCTGTCGGTAATTCTGTCATTACTAAGCTCTTACTAACTAAAGAATAAGTCATGGTACCGTAGCTTCAGCAGTTCTAAAGTACATAATCTACACTGGAAATGAAAACATGACGTTTTGTCCCATCCTGAAACAAGTCAATCAGGGCTTGTAACGGTTCAGGAGAGGCGTTTAGTTTGTATATGTAATTTAGTTGTTAATTGTCAGTAGGTGTTCAGGAGCAATCTGTGATTTGAATTACAATCAGATCAGGTTTTTGTCTTGACGTTGTAGTGGTGCCAGATTCACCGCCATAGTGACTATGACATGGCCTCCTGGTTGATAGCCTAATCAACCAGACTGTTGACGCAAGTAGTACGCAGTTCGTGTAAGGCACTACGTACCTAGAATTTTCAATCTTGGAGAATTTTTTTTGATGGATCAGTTCCATTTATATTTATTGGAAATGGCCTTTATACGTATAACTTTTAGCTAACGAATTCGTTACAGCCTAAATTATCATATCTGGAAATTTTATTATTGAGAAATTATATTATCTGTACGAAAATCGTATCAAGTAATACTTAGCTTACGAGATCGACACCTGCCTAAAAATAATTGAAAAAAAAAATGCATAATGGCTGGGAAAATATTTAGAAAAATGTATTGAGGAAAAATGTGTATATTGTTATACTGTTACTGAAAATCAGTGATTTCACTCAGTAGAAGTGAACTTTAGCTTCTGCAGCGTGAATCACACTAGTGGTGATGACCCAGCACGTCTCACATGTGACACTCGTGGGCGTCGCTCTTGCGACGCTAGTAGGCGTCGCCTGTGTGACAGTGGGCGTTGCAACTCTGACTTTTGTTAGCGTACCTATCACCTTTGACGTTACCAACAACTTTACATGGTGCTTGCTTCAGAACCACTCAGCCGTGTTAGAAGTGATCGTTGTATCACATGTGAACTAAGTAAGAAATGTTAAACTCGTTTATTAATGTATCTCGTTATTTAGTTTCATATTTTATATATTTTGATTTTGATAACAAAAACATTGTAATTTCGTTATGACTGGTCTGAATATTTGTTAGGAGTGGTCTGTATATTCCATATCCCCCCCTCTCTCTCTCTCTCTCTCTCTCTCTCTCTCTCTCTCTCTCTCTCTCTCTCTCTCTCTCTCTCTCTCTCCCACCACACACACACACACACACACACACACACATCACACACGGCAGTACAGAAGTAAAAGAAAACACACCTGTTTGTCAGAAGGGGGCAAGGAAGACGAGTGTCTGGGATACAGAGCCCGAGAAGGCTGGTTGGCTGTCACGCTCACCGCTACATTTATACCCACCGCGACAACCACGCCCACCATTCTCACAATGAAAGAAACCTGTTAGAATGAAGTATTTTTTTTTAGAATTCTCTTCTGGAACAGGATTTGTTGAGATATCAGCCCATTCTTAGGTCTAGAATCACTATCCAAAGGCGAGTCCTAAAATTCACAGGCCGGTATGCTAACAACTGGACCAGCTGACTCTAGAATTCATCCACCTAAGTATATTTCTGTTATACACCATAAGGAGGTTAGCCGGGGCCGCACTCTGACCACAGATGCAGGTTTGTGCAGACAATATATTTACAGGATATATGTGCGATTCGTCTGTAAAAACCTGCATTTGTAATCACTGTGGGACCCGTTCTAACCTTTCTACATAGGAATATTCCTAGTTACATGATTCCTATTAGAGCCAGCTGGTCCAGTGGTTAGAACACTGGCATGTGAACTTTACTACTCGCCCACCATGGATTCCACCCTGGGTTTTTCCTCCCACCATGGGTTCTCCCTCCCGCCATGGGTTCTCCCTCCCACCATGGGTTCTCCCTCCCACCATGAGTTCTCCCTCCCACCATGGGTTCCCCCCACCTGTTCTTTGATTTGTTATCAGTGGTGTTATTACGATTTCGTGAGTCACAAAAATAGGAAGGTATTGGTCAGTCATTTTTGGGGATGTAATTTTTTTTTACGCGATAAACCGTTTGGCTTGGATGGTGTAGACTGTAGAGGAAGGGGAGGGGAGAATAATTGAGGCAGGGAATACGGTGTTTGCTTGAGCTGGTTACCATAGCATTTTGGGAATTTTGCATCAGATGTTAGCCTCCTGCGTGGGTTTCATTGTGTAAATTTATTTTAGCACAAATTATAGTGACATAGACGGGAAATTAAAGGTTACGATCATTTTTAGGAAATTTGTTTATCGCAGTACTAAGCAAAGTAATTTTTTGTTATAATATAAAATTTATAATGGTAATGTAAATATAATTTAGTTTATTACTGGTATTAGGTCTTATATAAAAAAACATTTAATTACGAATGTAGGTTAGGTTACGTAAGATTTGTCAGGAAAGAGGACAAATGTTTCCTGAGGCGGGTCTTAGTAATATGACCCTCCGCTGGAGGTTTTGGCCATCTGACAGAGGCCTTCCACTGGCTTACCGGTCCACCCCTTTAAAAATTATGGTTATGTTTATAACAATTTTTTTTAATAATAGTCGGTGTCATATGTAATAGTTGATTGAGCGTGCATGTTATGCAGCCACCAGATGTACTGTATATTTTAAATATATAACTAGTTTGGTTTATTTTCCTTTATGTCGTATAAAATATTACACACTGGTTGTGCCTGACTTTATCTCTTAAGGTGTACAAACCTTGTTTTTATACTTAACACTGAACAAATATTATTCTCTGTTACATTGCGTCACTGTGTGGGTACATCTCGGTGTGGGTGCTTCACGATGTGGATACTTCACAATAGTGGGTGAGTGACAATAGTGGTTTCACAATAGTGGTTATTTCACAATAGTGGTAGCGTCACAATAGTGGTTATTTCACAATAGTGGTAGCGTCACAATAGTGGTTGCGTCACACATTAACCTTATATAGCATGTTGACGCCCTGGTTTGAGAAGTGTTGTCTCCGTGTTGGTAAAAGCAACTGATGTCTCCCTCCCCCACCTTATGTTTATATACTTCACATCTTATCCCCTCCCTCTCTACCTCCCCTCCCTTTCTGTCTTCTCTCCAACTCTACCACCCTTCCCTTCTGCCTCCCCTTAAGAATACTTGAGGGATGTTTCTGGGTGGGGGGGGGTCAGAGCTCACGCGGCCCGTCCAAAACCAAGCCTCCCGGTGGATCAAGGCTTGATAAACCAGGCTATTACTGCTGGCTTCACGCAGTCCAGCTTATGAACCACAGCTCGGCTGGTCAGGAACTGATTTTAGAAACGAGTCAGATCCCTTTTTAAGACAGGTAGAGGTTTGTTGGTAATTTCCCTTATGCACGAGGGAAGCACGTTGAAAAGTCGAGGACCTCTTGAGAACTCGATGAGTGTCAGAGGTCCCCGACTTTTCATACTTAACGGGCATTACCATCTATATAACAAATGTCGTATTACCGAATTTGTCTTAAATGTCAGTGCTGATTACCATTTACAACCTAGCAGGTTATATACTGTGTTTCCTGAACTGTGGTTTACCGTTAGACAGTTCCCGAATTCAACACCCCGACATCCCAATCCCAGACCAGGCCTCCTGGTTGATGACCTGGTCTTCAGGTTGTTGTGGCTCGCTGATCGTAGTTGCACGTAAGTAACGCTGCCTGACTGACCAGGGATTTCTGACAGGAGCTTAACCTTTAGTGTAAAGAACATGTTTTAAAGTGGTATAGAAGTGCTGGTTTCTATCATCTACCAAGACGTGTACTCTCAAGGCATTAACACACTGCCCTGCTCTCTAACCTCATTTTTTTTATATAAAGTATTAGAATTCACCTAGCGGATTGTTCGAATCCATACAACTAGCCGGCTAGTGCTATATCCACTGTACCCTGCTGGACTGGTTCCATGGGTTGTAATCCTAAGTTCCATGATTTGTTTACAGATGTGCCATTATGATTTCGCGAGTTAGTAATACTGCTGTCACTTGAAGTTCTGGTAACTATATTTAAGGCTTAGAATTGTGGTGTGAATATAATGCAGAAATTATCGTTGTTGTTAGCCAGGAGTGCGGGATTAAAACTGTTTTTAAGGGCTAGAAGTGTTTTCGACAAATAGCAACGTGACTTCAAGATTACATCTGTTGAAACGTATGTAGGAGTTATTTTATCACTTTGATTCCAGACGTTGTTGAATTCAATAGCCTCTGGTAATACTTGACTGCTGAGCTATGGATCAGGGAAACCTGAGGCCACTAGTCCTGGAGATGGCCATTATGTGCACTCTGTAATGTTCAGTTTACTGGTAACTACTTCTGGCAAACAGTGAATGGAGTAATATGGTGGTTTGGACTCACGCCCATATAATAAATGTTTTTAAGGCACATGTTTTCGACAAATAGCAACAGTTCATTACCTTTGTAAATTGTGAGTTCATTACCTTTGTAAATTTTGAATTCATTACCTCTGTAACTTGCTCAGCTATCAAAACTTTGAGGTCCAGTCCCTGGACCCATTATGTACCTCTGTAATCTTTTGACTACCGCCCACAGGATGGGTATGGGGTGCATAATAAACATATTAAACTAACTAAACTGTTAATGAAATAGTTCAGAATTAAAGAAATCAAAATTGTGTTGAACTAAACTTTCACGACTCGGCAAAACACTGTAATAGGGAACTCGTTAGTGCGTATTCACACACGAGGTAATTCTTTGATGTATATCCACCTGTGAGGGGACTCATTGATGCATATTCACATGTAAGGAACTTACTGATGTATAATCATTTGTGAGGGAGCTCTTTGATGCGTAGTCACCTGTAAGGGACCCTATTGATGTATATTAATCTGTCAGGGTACTCATAAATGTTTGTGTTCAGAGTTCGATAGTTTGGGCTACACGCTGATTATAACACTATTTAATCCCATTAATTCAAGTATTTACTTTATTTCTTCGTTAATTTTTATGTAAATTAAATGTCAGAATGTCAGGGACAAAGATGTACTCGTGTTTAAGCCAGAACTAATTGCGGACACGCCAATAGATCTCTCCCCCTCTAGTGATAATACTTGGATTATTGACTGAAGTTGAAGTCTATAGTGTATAGTAGTTGCTCCTGTTGATGGTTCAGGAAATTATCGCTCATGTGGCTCGCTTTTAGACTTTGCGTCCTTGTTGACTTCGGTGCTTGCTTCAAGCGGTTCCACGAAATCATCAAATTCTGGCTGATCAGGAACTGCCTAGAAGAACTTGTCAGATCCCGTCGTAAAGGCAGTAGGGGTTTATTGGTAATTGGATTTGTGTTCGAAGGATGTTGAAAAGCCTTGAGCCCTTTGTGGACGTGTTGATAGCCATAACCATGTCTGGATACTTTAAGGAGTAGCTTAAAGGTAAAGGGTTAAAGGATTTCTGATGTGCATAAGCATCCACGGAAGCGAGCGCACATACGTACGTAAATTGTAATTGATAAGCGCGCGCGCGCACACACACACACACACACACACACACACACACACACACACACACACACACACACACACACACACACACACACACACACACGCCACATCTTTTCACACCTTAATGGTTACTGTTCTCATGACGGAGAGGTAATGGCTGCATTCACCTGTGTACCTGCGATCTGCAGGAGCTAGTGAAAGCGTGCACAAAAGACCACAGTTGTTATTACACGTAAAGACATCCTGATAAATGCTATGTTTGAAGATGGACTTCGTCGTTGTTGTGGAAACTACATCCTTCTGTGTTTCCGCGAGCAGCTTTATTTCTGTAGGTGCTTCCCTTGATGCCGTTGAAGGGATATTGATTCAGTGAATTGGAGTCACCTTTTCGTATCGAGTATGATTACCTCACATTCCCTAGGCGCCATTTCTTCCATTCATTACACAGGTAGAGAGGAAGAACAGCTTGTGTGGTGGGGAAGAAGACCAGGCGAGCACAGGTAAAAATTTAAGACCCAGATAAGTCTTCATTTTCAGGAACGTAGAGGAGCCAGGGGACAGAGAGCAGGTCAACACACAGTTATGCCATAGAGACTTTGGACAGTATGATTATTATATTCTTAGTTTATTATTACCACGGTGAGTGGTAGATTTGTAACAAATGAAGTGTGGAAGCAGTCACCATCAGCGGGCCGCCAGTAGCAACAACCTGGTTGACCAAGCAGACACCAGACAGACGAGCCTGGCCCATGACCGGGCTCCGAAGTAGAAAAACTCTCGGAAATCATCAGTGGTAAAGGTATACAAAGTTTCAAGAGTGGCTGTGACTTGGCCCGGGAGGCCAGGAGACAGTAAAGATACTCTATACGGGTTAGGCGGAGCCCGGAGATGTGAATCGAACACAGCTGAGCGAGTACAACATAGTGAGCACACAAACATCGTCCAGTAGCCCTTCTAAATCCTGATACTTTCAGAGCAAGGCACACACACCTGAAGACGTGTGCGTGCGTTCTCACCTCAGCAGCGGCTTCATCTCCCACACTTAACCACCAACACCACCAAAAATACTTCTTGGAACGAATTCGCAGTTTGCACTTTATTTTTTTTTTGTTTTGTGAAGTTAATGCTTCGAAATAAAAAAAATCGGTATATCTTTCCTTTTTTTTTTTTTGTTTGTCAAGTTCTAACCGAGCCAAACCTAAATTCAATAAAAACTTAATCTATAACTTTGTAATTTCTTATTGGCTTTGTTTTTTCCGTGTTTAGCACTTAGTCTGATTATTATTAGTGTTTTATTATTAGTATTTATTATTATTTATTATTTTTTTTATTATTATTAGTAGTAGTAGTGTACGTAACTGGGATTCAAAAAAGCCTCATATGCTGAAATTTTCATTAATTTCAAGATATTGTTGGATATTATGACATGAGAATAGAGAGATCCCAAACACTTTCCTGACTTAACATTATAGAAAAAAAAAGCACCTACAAAAATAAAATTAAAATTAAGGAATGTCCATCCGGCAGATGAGAAACTGTTCTGATGTAGATGTCACCAGACAAAACTAAGGAACGTTGCACCATGCATCCAGTCAGTCGTGGTTTCGCCACAGATTTTTTCCAGCTTCCTGTAACTGTGGGATGTGTGGCTTACTTGCTTTTTCTTCCCATTGTAGTTTAACTCTCTTTTTCTCCCCTTCTTATTTTAAGGAAGATAGTGATTACGAAGTGCTATCTCTGTGTGTGTGTGTGTATATATTTATAATATATATATATATATTATATTATATATATATATATATATAATATTATAATATATATATAGTAGGTTGGTAGACAGCAACCACCCAGGGAGGTACTACCGTCCTGCCAAGTGAGTGTAAAACGAAAGCCTGTAATTGTTTTACATGATGGTAGGATTGCTGGTGTCTTTTGTCTGTCTCATAAATATGCAGGATTACAGGTATGTCTTGCTACTTCTGCTTACACTTAGGTCACACTACACATGCATGTACACGTTTATTTATACACACTCATCTGAGTTTTCTTTGATTTTATCTTAATAGTTCTTGGTCTTATTACTTTTCCTTTTATATCCATGGGGAAGTGGAATAAGAATCTTTCCTTCGTAAGCCATGCGTGTTGTAAAAGTCAACTAAAATGCCGGGAACAAGGGGCTAGTAACCCCTTTTCCTGTAAAGATTACTAAAGAGAATAAGAAGAAAATTGTCAAAGTGGGAAGTCTGAATGTGCGTGGATGTTGTGCAAATGATAAGAAAGAGATTGTGGATGTTATGAATGAGAAGAAGCTGGATGTCCTGGCTTTAAGTGAAACAAAGCTGAAGGGGGTGGGAGAGTTTCAATGGGGAGGAATAAATGGGATTAGGTCAGGGGTTTCAAATAGAGTTAGAGCTAAAGAAGGAGTAGCAATAATGTTGAAGGATAAGCTATGGCAGGAAAAGAGGGACTGTAAATGTATTAATTCAAGGATTATGTGGAGTAAAATAAAGATTGGATGTGAAAAGTGGGTTATAGTAAGCGTGTATGCACCTGGAGAAGAGAGAAGTGTAGAGGAGAGATATTTTGGGAAATGTTGAGTGAATGCGTGGGGAGTTTTGAATCAAGTGTGAGAAGTAATGGTGGTTGGGGATTTCAATGCTAAAGTGGGTAAAAATGTTATGGAGGGAGTAGTAGGTAAATTTGGGGTGCCAGGGGTAAATGTAAACGGGGAGCCTTTAATTGAGCTATATGTAGAAAGAGATTTGGTAAAAAGTAATACATGTTTTATGAAAAAGAGGATAAATATACAAGGTATGATGTAGCACGTAATGAAAGTAGTTTGTTAGATTATGTATTGGTGGATAAAAGGTTGATGGGTAGGCTCCAGGATGTATATGTTCATAGAGGGGCAACTGATATATCGGATCATTATTTACTTGTAGCTACAGTTAGAGTAAGAGGTAGATGGGACAATATGAAGGTGGCAGCAACAAGTAAGAGGGAGGTGAAAGTGTATAAACTAAGGGAGGAGGAAGTTCGGGTGAGATATAAGCGACTATTGGCAGAAAGGTGGGCTAGTGCAAAGATGAGTAGTGGGGGGTTGAAGAGGGTTGGAATAGTTTTAAAAATGCAGTATTAGAATGTGGGGCAGAAGTTTGTGGTTATAGGAAGGTGGGGGCAGGAGGAAAGAGGAGTGATTGGTGGAATGATGAAGTAAAGGGTGTGATAAAAGAGAAAAAGGTAGCTTATGAGAGGTTTTTACAAAGCAGAAGTGTTATAAGAAGAGCAGAGTATATGGAGAGTAAAAGAAAGGCGAAGAGAGTGGTGAGAGAGTGCAAAAGGAGAGCAGATGATGATAGAGTGGGAGAGGCACTGTCAAGAAATTTTAATGAAAATAAGAAAAAGTTTTGGAGCGAGTTAAACAAGTTAAGAAAGCCTAGGGAAAGTATGGATTTGTCAGTTAAAAGCAGAGTAGGGGAGTTAGTAGATGGGGAGATGGAGGTATTAGGTAGATGGCGAGAATATTTTGAGGAACTTTTAAATGTTAAGGAAGAAAGGGAGCCGGTAATTTCATGCACTGGTCGGGGAGGTATACCATCTTTTAGGAGTGAAGAAGAGCAGAATGTAAGTGTGGGGGAGGTACGTTAGGCATTACGTAGAATGAAAGGGGGTAAAGCAGCTGAAACTGATGGGATCATGACAGAAATGTTAAAAGCAGGGGGGATATAGTGTTGGAGTGGTTGGTACTTTTGTTTAGTAAATGTATGAAAGAGGGGAAGGTACCTAGGGATTGGCGGAGAGCATGTATAGTCCCTTTATATAAAGGGAAAGGGGACAAAAGAGATTATAAAAATTATAGAGGAATAAGTTTACTGAGTATACCAGGAAAAGTGTACGGTAGGGTCATAATTGAAAGAATTAGAGGTAAGACAGAATGTAGGATTGCGGATGAGCAAGGAGGTTTCAGAGTGGGTAGGGGATGTGTAGATCCAGTGTTTACATTGAAGCATATATGTGAACAGTATTTAGATAAAGGTAGGGAAGTTTTTATTGCATTTATGGATTTAGAAAAGGCATATGATAGTGGATAGAGGAGCAATGTGGCAGATGTTGCAAGTATATGGAATAGGTGGTAAGTTACTAAATGCTGTAAAGAGTTTTTATGAGGATAGTGAGGCTCAGGTTAGGGTGTGTAGAAGAGAGGGAGACTACTTAGACAGGGATGTGTAATGTCACCATGGTTGTTTAATATATTTATAGATGGAGTTGCAAAAGAAATAAATGCTAGGGTGTTCGGGAGAGGGGTGGGATTAAATTATGGAGAATCAAATTCAAAATGGGAATTGACACAGTTACTTTTTGCTGATGATACTGTGCTTATGGGAGATTCTAAAGAAAAATTGCAAAGGTTAGTGGATGAGTTTGGGAATGTGTGTAAGGTAGAAAGTTGAAAGTGAACATAGAAAAGAGTAAGGTGATGAGGGTATCAAATGATTTAGATAAAGAAAAATTGGATATCAAATTGGGGAGGAGTATGGAAAAAGTGAATGTTTTCAGATACTTGGGAGTTGATGTGTCGGCGGATGGATTTATGAAGGATGAGGTTAATCATAGAATTGATGACGGGAAAAAGGTGAGTGGTGCGTTGAGGTATATGTGGAGTCAAAAAACGTTATCTATGGAGGCAAAGAAGGGAATGTATGAAAGTATAGTAGTACCAACATTCTTATATGGGTGTGAAGCTTGGGTGGTAAATGCAGCAGCGAGGAGACGGTTGGAGGCAGTGGAGATGTCCTGTCTAAGGGCAATGTGTGGTGTAAATATTATGCAGAAAATTCGGAGTGTGGAAATTTGGAAAAGGTGTGGAGTTAATAAAAGTATTAGTCAGAGGGCAGAAGAGGGGTTGTTGAGGTGGTTTGGTCATTTAGAGAGAATGGATCAAAGTAGAATGACATGGAAAGCATATAAATCTATACGGGAAGGAAGGCGGGGTAGGGGTCATCCTCGAAAGGGTTGGAGAGAGGGGGTAAAGGAGGTTTTGTGGGCGAGGGGCTTGGACTTCCAGCACGCGTGCGTGAGCGTGTTAGATAGGAGTGAATGGAGACGAATGGTACTTGGGACCTGACGATCTGTTGGGGTGTGAGCAGGGTAATATTTAGTGAAGGGATTCAGGGAAACCGGTTATTTTCATATAGTCGGACTTGAGTCCTGGAAATGGGAAGTACAATGCCTGCACTTTAAAGGAGTGGTTTGGGATATTGGCAGTTTGGAGGGATATGTTGTGTATCTTTATACGTATATGCTTCTAAGCTGTTGTATTCTGAGCACTTATGCAAAAACAGTGATAATGTGTGAGTGTGGTGAAAGTGTTGAATGATGAAAGTATTTTCGTTTTGGGGATTTTCTTTCTTTTTTTGGGTCACCCTGCCTCGGTGGGAGACGGCCGACTTGTTGAATATATATATATATTATATATATATATATATATATATATATATATATATATATATATATATATATATATATATATTTATTTATTTATTTATTAACAACTGTTAATTGTGACAACTTTTCGCTCTAAGGAGAGCTTGGGAGAAACTGTCCTTAGAGTGAAATATTGTCACAGTAAACGCTGTCTGCTCTAAGTCTTGTCTTCACACATGCAGAGTTATTTGGGTGAGGAGGATGAAGAATGGATTAAGGAGCAAGAGATGGACACTTCATGAGATTTTCTTGAAATCTATGAAAGGTTCATAATTTCTGGTATTTTTTTGTGGGGGGGGGGAAACAAAGTGCAGAAATGGTTTTATGAGTTTATAAGTAAATGAGAAAGATAAACTTGAAAAGTTAGTGGCTCAAAATCTACACTTAGTTAATATAATTTGGAGTTAAAGAGGTCAAAATCGAAGGATAAAAAATTGATCTTTGTATAAATATTTTTTTTTGTGGCTAGGATTGCAAGATGATACAGTGGTACACCATAATTTTGGTTCAAGGCGCTTCTTAATATAGGTTCATGTTTATTGATTACATATGTGATCTTTGCTAGTTCCTGACTTTTACAAGTAGTCCACGACCCCAGACAGCCTCCCGGAGTTCACTGATAGCCCTCACCACATATAATTTAGTATTCCTGATGCAGTGGTATCCCTGGTGTTGTAGTGGAAGTTCCCAGGTTTTAGTGGTAGCCTCCGCCACCGCTTTGCTGGAAAGTGATGGGGGGCCCATACTTCGCTGGATGTTTCGCTACTCCATCGTAGCTGACCTTGGCCACGAAACCCTTGTAGTGGTCAGCTGTGTAGTCCACCTACAAGACAAGACACTCAACAAAATTGAAAAACCTTTGAGGGGGTTGAAGAAGGAAGGTAAGCTTGTCTGTAAGGCAAAGTATGAATCTCAAACATCATCCGAACACACTTTAGTGTACTGGTCTTTGAGCCAGAACAAGCATCGTCCGATCATTCACACTTATTATGAGTGTTCGGATACTGTGTAGGTTCATCACAAGCATCATCTGAACAAGCTCATATGCTGTGCACTAATCTATCCATGGATTGCTTATTACGATGGCCCATGAACGTTAAGTAATGAAATTCGTTTTATAAAAGTGTATCTAACAAAGGAAATCGGTTTAAAAACCCATTTTATCAACTCAAACCCTGCGACGCTTATACCATATGCACGTATATCATTTTGTAAACAACCCCCTTCCTAGGGTGTATACCCGGGACTCTGCGAACTGTGACAGAATATCGCGTACCACACCCACGTACCGTTTGTTTGCGGCCGTCGGGAAGGGCCACATTGTAGGACCCGTGGACGGCATTGCCGTCAGATTTTTCGTTCTGGCCAAAGTGCGTGCCCTTGTAGTCGTCGTGTACAGCGTAGTTAAACTGGTACGGCAGAGGCACCTAAGGAAGAGCACAAGAATGTAGTTTGATTGCATGAATGAAGATGGGAAGGGGCATAGTTGGTTAAATGGATTATGTTACTGAGGGAGTGGCATAATTGCTTGCTGTGTTGGATAAGGGAGCATGGCAAAGATAATTTTCTGACTAGCTTATGGATAATTTTAGTTTTATGTATATCCTATGTAATATTACAGTTAAAGGAAACTTTTACATTTGTTTTCTAGCATTAATACTAATGATTTTTTTCTTTTTTTTTTAAGATAAACTCTTTTGCGTCAAAACTTTATGCATAAACTCCAGCATTTATAAGTTATGGTGTACAGTACGTGTGATATACGGAGTAGATAAACGGCAGCATTTATGTGTTAAGATGTACCTTACATGTGGTACAAGGAGTTGGCAAAGTTGCAATACTTACCGAGGGGTAAACTTGATAGTCGCCTGGGTCTGCAGTGGTCGCCCCCACCACGATCATAATCGTCAGTACCTGCCAGCAGGAGAACGTGTTCTTATAACAATATTAATTTTAACATTATTATTATTACTGGATGAACACGATGGTGTTCATGTGTGGCTGTACGTAACCAATCTTGTATCTCCAGATGTCCAGACGGAATGTGTGTAGTTTAGATTTTTTATATTTAACGCATGGATTTAAGCGAGTGTTATCATATTGAGCAGCCTAGATAACACAGAAGTTTAGTAGAGCTGTGACATATTAATACCAGGAGTAGGAGGAACAGAATAGTAAGAAGAGTAGGTTAAGATGGACAGGGATAGGCTGACATACAAGGAGAGCAAATCAGGGACAATAAATGACAACTAAAAACGCACATGAGCTTCGTGAATGTTAAATACTTCTTAGTATCTGAGTTGTAAGTGGAGCGAACTAGATAGTTGCTGAGGACCAACTCCATACGCAGTTTGAATAGCAGATATGACTGGGATCTAGAGGCCAGGAATGTGTAAAGCCGTTAGTAAGTAATTAAAAGGCGCCAAGAGCTAAGACTCAACCGCTGCAAAACACAAAGTCCTTTGTATATCTTGCATCTTCCCTCAACCTTTGCACGTATATCTGCGAATACGGCAAGGTAAGCGAGCATACTCTTGTATTTACATACAAAAATGTAAAACGAAACCGTGAATTTTTGAACTGGATGAACCACTATATGAAACACACCCCTCACATTCTGACACTTGCGTGACAAGGTCATAGGCCGGTGAATTGGAATTGTACTGAAAACCCTTGTGGGTGATGAATGATATTAAAAATGTTTCAGATCTAGAATGGTAATAAAAATCCCATCACGGAGAACTGATATAAAAAAAAAAACAGGATGTAAACTTGAAATTAAGCAAATGCAAATTTCAAATCTAATTGTTATTATGGAATTATGTAATACAAAAGAGTAATAAAGCTGATGGTATTTATCACATTAATAATGTTATCTCGTTATTGTGTTCTACTGTGATAACGAAACTAATATAATTGGGTTATTATTATGCGGTTTCCTGGGATCACGAAAAAAGGTTTTGTTATCAAGTCGAAGGCTCCTGTAGCATATATTCTCGGAAGAGGGGAGAAAAAAGACTAAAATGCATTAACTAGAAAGTATAGCTTAAAGGTAACCTTCAGCAAAGTAGCAAAGCGTAGTTAAACAATTGATTTTTTGCTAAAAAAGTTTTGCTTCTGGAAGTACGCACATAGCATTTACATGCGTATTTTCGTTAAACATGTTTTTATATTTGAATTGTAATATTGTTGCATAACATTCAGTATGGTTTATCATTCACTCTTAAATTTGAAATCCATTTAATGATGAAATAAAAAAATGGTATTATTAAAGAGAGACTATGAAGAGTCACAGTTCCGTAATACTTGACGTTATAGTGTTCTTAGCGTCCAGACAGCGTGAAATCAACGAATCTTTATAAAGGATTAGAGTTCATAACAGTTTGGTGACTAAAATGTTAGTGGAAGGTCTGTGGGGGGGTTAGGCTTTGTATGAAAGCCTAACTTCTAGATTTTATTCTATATTTAATGGGGTAGGTTTACTGTTTTTTAGTCAGTGGGTAGTCTCGTTTATTTTTTTTTTCTTTCATGTATATGGAGCGTTAAATCCTTGTGAGTCATTAAACACAGTGAGTGATGGTGGCTCAATACTCATTGTAAAAGAGGTTCTCGTCCAAGATCAACTCCTTCCTTTCAAAGGAGGTGCTGGTGAAGAGCTCTTCATCCAGGTAATCGGGGCAGACCTCGATTTCCTCGGATGAATTTCCTCGGATGAAACATGAATTCCCCAGCCTCTCCCATTTCCCACGAACTCTGATCTTAATGGGTTTAGCGCTTAACTCTGAATTAAAAAAATGCTAGTCCGTCTGAGTCACGTAAGTACAATCCTCGAGGCTGTCTTTCATCTCTGATATAAATTATCTGTCTCTTATGCTTATTAATTCTCACTTCTTATTGCACACGTAACATATTCAATTTTATACGTTCAAAAAATTTTGGAGTGTGTTATAGGAGCGATGATCTCTCAGAATATTGTTGTGTACTAACGGTGGCCAACAAGGCAGGCGAAACTGCTTAGTTTAAAAATATGTAGAGAACCTTCACAGCTCGTAGAAACTTAGTCAAGCACCTAAATTTCTGTGAGTGCTTGAAGTCACTAGTGCAAGAAAGATATATTATAATCTGTACCCGGAATTTACCGGAGGGATTGGTCCCAAATTTGCACACTGAAATAACTACTTACGAACATAAGAGGCTTGGCAGACGGTACAGTACGGTTACCTCCAATGAAAAGCAGGGTAGCGATAAGTACATTGAGAACTCAATAAGTGTTAAAAGGGACCACGATTCTTCATCCTCCTTTCATGCATAAGAGGGATTACCAACAAACCCCTAGCTGTCTTCAAGAGGGGTTTCTCAAAACAGTTTCTGATCAGCCACTTTGTGATGCATACCATGGGCTGCGGGCGACGGGCACTAACAGCTTGAACAATCAGGTCAGTAACCAGGAGGCCTGGTCTGGAACCGGGCCGTGGGGACGATGACCTCCGGAAGCAGCTCCAGTTAAACTCTGTATTCTCGTATGTCCCCTAATTTTATAATTAAAATTTTTCTTCGCTTTTTTAATTTCCATATTTTTTTATATTTTTTTTTATTTAATCAAAAACAAAAAAGTTAGATTTTAAGACTAATGATATTCTCAAGAATCATCTGCCTAGTTTAAAATATAGATAATTTAAACAGTTATCGGTGTATCATGAAACCACTTTTCGTACCATGCAAAAGAGATTAGTGGTCATAGCGCATGATAATTTGTATAAAGAAATTATTACTGACCTGTTTTGTGGGCGTGCAAAATATCGATGATCTATTCTAAATTTTAATTTAATATTGCAAAATATCTTGAGGCGTTGCAGATTTGGTTAAATTTCGATTTGTCTTTGAATAACCACTTCACAAATTTGAAGTGAAATCTTTCGTTTCAATGAAACGAAAGAAAGGGAAAGGGAAAATTATTTCTTCAAATTTGATAAATTTACATTTTTATCTTTTTTTCTTATCTATGGTGAAGTTAAAGCATACTTTGAAAAACTCTTAAGATATATATTCTTACTTGTAAGTCCATATTACTGTAGGAGAGGGATGCAGATATGTCAACTGAAGGGAGCGGCGACTAGGAAACTGTAGGGAGTACGCCCTTCCTTGTGTTTATATACAACCAGTTGATGCACCTTCCCACCTAGCTCCTCTCAAGGATACCATTTGAGGGATCCCGCTCGTCCGAAGCGGCCCCGTGTCAATTCAGGCTTCACGCCACACTTTAAGATTGACTGGAAAAACCTTACTCCACAAACTGTAATTAACTTTGCACACACAATGGTGCACACTTTCCCTGTCTGAGTCTCCTTGGGTCTTTGGAACAGAAATGATCTTTTCTTGATAACCCAGATACTGGGTTACCTTATGTTGATTACTGTTTGAGTGGGTGAATTGTCTGAAAAAACCAGCAATCATTTTTTGGCATAAATAGTGACAAGATTTCGCTTTCCGAAAATTATTCTTGGCTTCCAGCCAACGACTCTTGATCGAAATATAATGGGGCGCCACCAAATAAACTTAAACCAGTTTAGTTATATTAAGAGTATGATATTGTAATATGACAGTAACATTTAACAACTTAAATTGCTCAATATCTTGCAAGATAACGGCATTTTTTTTTTTTTTTTTGCAATTTGGTGTTAAATTTTCATCGACTGCATGCGGAAAATGTTTAAATATATTAATTGCATGTGTCATAATCCTCATACTCATGATTTGCACGAACATCGAGGAGATTTAGTTGCTCTTTTTTTAAAAAAAAAAAAAAAAGATGCCACTTGGATGCGTTAAGCAAAGGAACGAGGCTTCGCTAGTTTTTATATTTTGTGGTTGTTTGCCAAAGATGGTTTTATTTTACCACTGTCTTTGCAGGTGATTCATCTTAACCAACGAAACCTTATTTTATTCTCGGTTGATTCAATTGTTTTTGTTTTTAAAAACCGTATTTTTTTTTTTTGTACTTTTTTTCTCCGCCCATGCATATTGCTCTAGTGTTTTCATGGTCAACGCACTGCTATTTTCTACCGTTAATTTTCAGAAATTCTTATTCAATACACAAGTTTTGTCAAACAAATGCAGACACGAACTAGCAGACTGATAAATTTGAACTAGGCTATAAGTACCTTCTGCAATTTATTTTTGAAAGGCAGTTTCAAGTTAATGAAATAAATAATTTGAACACAAAGAAAGCCACACACAAGAACACGATATCGCGAGATTTTAAAGAAAATCCAACCATATTGAGGCACAGGAAATTGAACACTTCATTGTTAATATGAAATTCGATTTTTTAGGATTGTATCCACACATAGCGTCAACCACATAAACTGCTTTATAGTTATTTTATCTATAATATAATCAAATGACATTGGGAAAGATGTCTGACATCTTAAGACCATGCACACACTACAGTAACTGAGTAAGTTATATAAAACTGGTATGTATAAAAATAATTTTATATCGAAAAGAGAACTATTTATTCACTTTCACGATATCTTAGCTGCTATGTATAAAAAGACTTACATCCAAGTGAAAACCATTTATTCAATATGGCGATTATCTTTTTATGTATACAAGAGGTAGACTGCATTGGTGTACATGTATTAGTAGCCGTCGATGCGCAGCATGGTCTAGTAGCGTCATACATTGATTTGTATATTGTTTTCTGATTTATTTTAAGTCATTCAGTTAGCTTCATTTGTTTTGAGAGAGCCCATGGTAAATATATCTGAATGTTGAATACTGTACAGTATTAGAGATTGAGGAAGCATAGGTATGTATATTTCTTATGAATTTACAAGTTACTTAAATTAAGAGATAATTATAGGTGACAATATAGTGAGGCTTCTCAAGTGGAATGTCAACCGCCTCGTGTAATAATTTTTTTTCCGCCTATCGGTAATTCCAGGAATCACAGTTCCCATTTTCCGGTTTATGAAAATACTTTGAGGTGTCTTCGTAAGTATTTGCACGCAGTATAATGTATGCACCACATCCCGGCTGATTACGAAGTTCCTGGGCTCTTCAGTTATTGAATCAGCACACTGTTGGCAGATTATCGAAAACTGGATTTGCTCTAGCGAGAAGGAATAGAATAAAAAACAACCTGAAAGGAAAATAAAGAGGATTTGTTGTTGCTATGGAGAACAAATTGACATGAGAATATGGGTAGATTTGGGATGTACGTAGCAGACTTAGAAAGTTTACCTGATGCATTTCCGTGAGTAAATTTCTATGAAGTGCTCTTGATTTTGCTTTTTCATGCTGCTGCGTGTAATCTTGTTGCTATTGTCCCTTCGTTTTTGTCCTTGCCCGTGTCCTCGATGAGAGGAACTACGCAGATTCTGCAGAGCAGTTGATGATTTTCCCCTGCAGAGTTTCTTGGAGTAAAGAAACGTGTTGTGTGTGTGTGTGTGTGTGTGTGTTACCATTTTGTCCTAGGCACATGTCGATTAGACACTAGGCCTATTGTATATTGTGTGTGTATATGTGTTAGTTACCATTTTGTCCTAGGCACATTTCGATTAGACACTAGGCCTGTTGTATATGTGTGTGTGCATGTGTGTGTGTGTGTGTGTGTGTGTGTGTGTGTGTGTGTGTGTGTGTGTGTGTACACACATACACCTTATTTGGTAATACGTTACACAGTGCAAAGGTGTGATTGTAAACAGTTACTCTTATAAAGCTTTTTTTCAGCTTGTCAGAGTATGTGCCCAGGAAGTAATTGAAATTGCCGTTTTAAAACATTAACAGTATGACGCTGGAACAGTAACTAGCTGCTCTGGTTTCCTTAATCTTTACTAATTTTTCCGGGAATTTGGATACCAAGTTTCCCCATGAACACAGGTTTTCTCAATCGAGTGTTATGAACTTGTATTGATAAACAAGTTCACTGTATTTTCTAGACTTTTGGGACTCATTGAAGCTGGCAGTTGCACTTCAACCCCTGTGTAGTAGATATAGATAGCAGTCATTGTGGATTGCAAGTGTATGTCCACACCACACAATTGTAATTCCATTCGTTTGTCCCCAAAAGATTCGTTTTCTTAAAATATTGTGTTAAAGACGCCTTCCATTTTCTTTCATTCATTCTGCTGGCATAATGTATTTTTTTTGTATTGCAGGTGTTCTTACTATGTTCCCCTCACAGCTCGACCTTTATATTCCCTCACATCTCTGCCTTCATGTTCCCTCACAACTCTGCCTTCTTGTTCCCTCACAACTCTGCCTTCTTGTTCCCTCACAACTCCTCCTGCTTGTTCCCTTACATTTTCTTCCTTCATGTTCCCTGTTCCCTCACAACTGTCGTCGCGCCGACATTTCTTTCACTAATCATTCTTGTAGCGAAGGTGAAAAGTGAGGAGTTTTTGTCTTGGTGTGAGACTGAGATTGTCACGTCTCTGGAGTCGGTGGGAAATATTAAACCAAATTACCCATAACATTTCAGTTTTGTGCCTAATATTGTACTATTGTATTTGTTTAGCTTTACTGTATACGTTACAATTTAACTAATTATTGTCGTGTTCTAAATTCCTTTCTACATTTTTCATTTAAATTTTTCTTCATTAAGAGAGTTACTCTGTTGTACACCTTCCTACGTCCTGTACAGAACATTGTAAGAAATTGCTGAAAGGTTTTAAAAAGGAACGCCAGAAAAAAAAAATAATTTTTTTTTTCCTGGAATTATTTTAGCATACAGACGCCAAATTTTAAATAAATTGAAGGGCTTTTAAGTAAGAGTTTACTGTGCGTAATTTAGTGCAATAGTTTTTGGCCATCCAAAATACAGTGAACGCTTGTAGATGAGACGTTAGAACCCACATGGAGAGAAAAATACCGAAAACTGATTATGTATTTCGATCTTCCAGTGGCGTCGTTTTCAGCTGATATGGTAAAGAGGCTCTCATTAAGAGACTGAGCCACACAGACCAATCTATTTAACGTGTTTCTGGCTCCACTTGAGTTATTATTCCACATTGCATATATAACTATTGAAGTTCCATCATTCTGTTCGAGAGAATAGGAAAAGGTTGGTTTTCTCTGGAGTAAGATACAGAACCTCGCGTAAGAAAACGTGAACCTCGCATGTATGAGGGGAACCTCATGTATTTCCTCGCTACCTCACTGAATACACAGTAATTGTGGTCAAAGTGGAAGCAACTGAGCAATATTATTTGTAATTATCTTTAAAGTAATTTAATTCTACATCAGCATACCACAGTTTCTCTTGCTGTGTAAGGCTTCTTCACCTCACCAAGGATAAATCTCATGTACCTATTACTGTGATCTGATCCTCGCTTTAATGTTAATGTAAATAACTCAGTTTACCTTATTCCTGGTATATTTCCTTTTATTGTAACTGCTTTTCACAGTGAACTTGCTTAGGTGTTTTAAATTATAAGGATTAATAGGATATTACAAGGTTATTCTAAGTAATCTACACACATGATAATTTATGTAACTCTATTCACCTGTACCTTTACCTGAGTAAACTTATTCATTTTTGCCTTGTAAATAATTGTTACTATTAACGTGATTGTTAACATAATTTCCTATCCTCTTATTATATAATGAATTTATTCCGTAGTCTTGAGTTGGGCAGATGCCCAACTCTTTACCGATGCTCCACTCTTGACAGACGCTCCAACCTTCACAAGATACACCACCCTTGACAGATAATCTGCTCTTCACAGATGCTCCGCTCCACTCTTCACGGATCACTGTTTACAGATAGTTGTCACGTTCGTTAATGAACATTTCCTGGAATTAGTTTGGTTAATGATGTAAATCGTATCCAATTTCTCTCTCATTCCAGTATGTATATATATATATATATATATATATATATATATATATATATATATATATATATATATATATATATAAAATGTCGTGTAAACTTGTCTAAAATATATATTTAGTTGGATTAGGCACACACACACAGTTCACTAAATGTGGATAGTCTTGAGATGCAACAGCGGCACAGCATACCCTTTGCGAAGTCGGAGAGGTCAACGGTGTAGGAGCCGGACACAGTTTTACTGTGGGACTTTTCTTTCTGGCCGTGGTTGGCGCCCTTATAGTCGTCATAAACATCGTAGCTGAAGTACTAAGGTAGCGGCTGCTGAAGGGAGAAATAATAAAAAAATATTGTTTTAAATGTATATATTTTAGGTAAGCCAGCGGAAGGCCTCGGTCAGATGGCCAAAAGCTCTATCTGCGGTCATCTTATAACTAAGACCCGCGTCAGGAAATACTTGTCTGTGTCCTGACAAACCTTACCTAACATAAATTCGCCATTGTCAGTTTCTTTCAAATATTATCACTTGCATATTAACACCTTTTTATTGGGACCACCAATCTTTCTGTCCAGGTGCGTCTGCGGAACGTAAGAGTTTTTTTAATTATAATAGTATCAAGACCAAAAAAAAAAAAAAATTATGTCCTCGCGCATTGTCTCTCTCTCTCTCTCTCTCTCTCTCTCTCTCTCTCTTTTTACACAGGGTTTGACAAGGTTAAGGATCCCTAGCTTTATTGACAGCTATATTACAGGTTAAGGATTCCTAACTTTATTGGCAAGCTAAGAGCTGTTACCTACATCAGCTCATTTGAAAGCATTTTTATTGTTATGAGACATACAAGTACGGAACAGGATGAAGTTGGAGCCATCTGTGGGCCAGCATTTTCATTTGATCAACTGACTTTATCTCGTTGACATCATTATGCTGTACGAATGTGTTCCATACTCGAGTCATCCTGGGTATGTATGATCTCGATGGAGTGATGTTCTGGAGAAGGGTACAGCCAGAATGAAGTTGCTGCTTTCTGCCCGTCTTGTGGCATAAAAGCTTGTTTCACGCTGTCCTCGAAGTGGATCCAAGTGTGGTATTTTGACAATATTGGCCTTGTACATAACAGTAAGGCCACCCACATCCCTCCTATGTTGAAGGCTCTGCTGAAATGACAGATCTCTCTCTCTCTCTCTCTCTCTCTCTCTCTCTCTCTCTCTCTCTCTCTCTCTCTCTCTCTCTCTCTCTCTTGGGAGCACACGCACACAAAGGAGCTGTGACTCGATCCCTGCAACCACATATAGTTGAGTACGCGCGCGCGCGCGCGCACACACACACACACACACACACACACACACACACACACACACACACACACACACACACACACACACACACACACACACACACACACACACACAAGAGAGGCCCAACGACAATATGAAAACGACATAGCAGCGAAAGCCAAATCTGACCCGAAGCTGTTATACAGCCACATCAGGAGGAAAACAACAGTCAAGGACCAGGTAATCAAGCTAAGGAAGGAAGGAGGAGAGACAACAAGAAATGACCGTGAAGTATGTGAGGAACTCAACAAGAGATTCAAAGAAGTGTTCACAGAGGAGACAGAAGGGGCTTCAGGAAGACGGAGAGGTGGGGCACACCAAGTGCTGGACACAGTACACACAACCGAGGAAGAAGTGAAGAGGCTTCTGAGTGAGCTAGATACCTCAAAGGCAAGGGAGCCGGATAACATCTCTCCATGGGTTCTGAGAGAGGGAGCAGAGGCGCTAAGTGTACCTTTAACAATATTCAATACATCTATCGAAACAGGGAGATTGCCTGATGCGTGGAAGACAGCAAATGTAGTTCCAGTCTTTAAAAAAGGAAACAGACATGAAGCATTAAACTACAGACCAGTGTCATTGACATGTATAGTATGCAAAGTCATTTAGAAGATTATCAGGAGAAGAGTGGTGGAACACCTAGAAAGAAATGATCTCATCAACAGCAGCCAACATGGTTTCAGGGATGGGAAATCCTGTGTCACAATCCTACTGGAGTTCTATGGCATGGTGACAGTAGTAAGACAAGAGAGAGAGGGGTGGGTGGATTGCATTTTCTTGGACTGCAAGAAGGCGTTTGACACAGTTCCACACAAGAGATTAGTGCAAAAACTGGAGGACCAAGTAGAGGTAACAGGGAAGGCACTACAATGGATCAGGGAATACTTGTCAGGAAGACAGCAGCGAGTCATGGTACGTGGCGAGGTGTCAGAGTGGGCGCCTATGACCAGCGGGGTCCCACAGGGGTCAGTCCTAGGACCAGTGCTGTTTCTGGTATTTGTGAACGACATGACGGAAGGAATAGACTCCGAAGTGTCCCTGTTTGCAGATGACGTGAAGTTGATGAGAAGAATTCATTCGATCGAAGACAAGGCAGAACTACAAAAGGATCTGGACAGGCTGCAGACCTGGTCCAGTAATTGGCTCCTGGAGTTCAACCCCACCAAGTGCAAAGTCATGAAGATTGGGGAAGGGCAAAGAAGACCGCAGAGGGAGTACAGTCTAGGGGGCCACAGACTACAAACCTCACTCGAGGGAAAAGATCTTGGGGTGAGTATAACACCAGACACATCTCCTGAATCGCACATCAACCAAATAACTGCTGCAGCATATGGGCGCCTGGCAAACCTCAGAACAGCATTCCGACATCTTAATAAGGAATCGTTCAGGACCCTGTACACCGTGTACGTTAGGCCCATATTGGAGTATGCGGCACCAGTTTGGAACCCTCACCTAGCCAAGCACGTAAAGAAACTAGAGAAAGTGCAAAGGTTTGCAGCAAGACTAGTCCCAGAGCTAAGAGGTATGTCCTACGAGGAGAGGTTAAGGGAAATCAACCTGACGACACTGGAGGACAGGAGAGAGAGGGGAGACATGATAACGATATATAAAATACTGAGAGGAATTGACAAGGTGGACAAAGTCAAGATGCTCCAGAGATGGGACACAGCAACAAGGGGACACAGTTGGAAGTTAAGACTCAGATGAATCACAGGGATGTTAGGAAGTATTTCTTCAGCCACAGAGTAGTCAGGAAGTGGAATAGTTTGGGAAGCTATGTAGTGGAGGCAGGATCCATACATAGCTTTAAGCAGAGGTATGATAAAGCTCACGGTTCAGGGAGAGTGACCTAGTAGAGATCAGTGAAGAGGCGGGGCCAGGAGCTGGGACTCGACCCCTGCAATCTCAACTAGGTGAGTCCACACACACACACACACACACACACACACACACACACACACACACACACCACACCACACACACACACACACACACACACACACACACACGCGCGCGCGCGCGTACGTACGTACGTTCGATAATTGCCTCAAATTCCCCAAGGAAACATTTCCTGGACCATTTAGCCTTAATTAATCCTTCTTGAATATACTCTTCAACTCTAACATTATTTTTTTTATTTTCTTGCTC